AAGAAAGAACAGAATGAAAAAAAAGAAACACGAACGAAAGAAGAGAAAAAAAAAAAGTAAAACAAATATTGCTTCAATATACGAGGAATGAAAAAGAAAAATTGAAACACACCGAACGGACCGGCCAAGACTGGCTCCTTTCACACATTTTTAGTATATCCAATATACATGTTTTAATAGGAGCAGTACTATATATACATATCTCTTCCGCACTCTCCAATGGCATTTTTTTAATTTCTTCTCTCTACTCGCTCAATCTCTCTCTCTCTCTCTTTCTCTTTCTCTTCCTTTCTCTGCTTTTCGTCCTTTTTTGTGTAAAATTCTACTCACTTGCTAGTTGCAACGAATACAAAAAAGGTGACTCTCAATTTAAATCGGACCATTATGTACACCAAATGCAATATTAGTCGCAAGTATGGTAGATAATTCACTAAGAATGAAACACATTGGCTCTAGCACATAGAGGATATGATCTCTTGACGCTCGAAAAGCTAAAAAGTGTACATTACATGCACAAACCAAAACTGCACGACACTTACAGGAAAATGAAGAAAGAGAGAGAAAGAAAGGGAGCAAGAGGGAAATAGAGAGTGAAGGCAAGAGAGACTTGAAACAATGAAGCCAAACACATAACATGCAAACACACAGTGTCTCGATTGCATCAAATGTCCTTCTGCTCCTATGTAGACGCATTTCGTTACATTTTACTCCATTATTTATTTTGAAGTTTCAATCCGAGTGTGAGCCACGCCGAGCAATTGACAAGGAGCGCGAACACGCTCAAGCGCACACACATTTAGCACATACGCTATCTAAGCATAATAGTCAATTTCTCTTCTCTAAACATATACATTGATATTGAATTTGGGGTTAGGTCTTATAATAATGCGCGCAAATGACGCGCTTGAAAATTGATATTTCACATTTGTTGCCAAAGATCATGTAACCGAAATTGGAGCAATAAAATGAAAAGAACATTTGGCTAAGATTACACACTTTTGCTCGTTTGTTTTCATGAGAAATGGCATTTTGATTGTGATTTTGTTTTTTTTTTTAGTTTTCAGCCGAGCAACAATATCGAAACGAAATGAATAAAAAGAAACAATTCTTCCGCATTGCGATAAGTGTAACGAGTGCATTTCTGATTAAATAAATAGAATAATAAATCTTTTGGCGGAATTGAGTCATTCAACGGAAACGAACTCTTCCTTGACGGGTGATTGCCAAAGTATGATTGTTCAAAAAAGATATAAATATATATGTATATTTTGCATATGCGTATATATATGGAAAATCTTCTACGAAATATACACATTCATACTTTGTACAAAATGAGTGTGATGCTGTTTCTAAACGGCCGTTGCGAAATGAAACGATTTTGAATGACAAATATAAAATTGATTAGCCGGGTTATCAAACATGTCCTTCGAAATTTTCTGTATTGATAAAGGAAATGCAATATTTTATTCGTCGCTACAGAAAAAAAAACCAAAACGATTAGAATAGAATGGACTCAAACCTTGGCATATAATGCCTGAAATATTCAGCGAGCTGTCAAATGTTTAAGGCGATTTCATGAAACTATTTTCAATGTCATAGTCAAAATAAAATTAGAAAACGTCATAAATGAAATTTACAATGCATTTAACCTTTCGGACAACGATACGGTTTGTATGGTATTTTTTTTCGTCAACTAAGCATAAATTGGAGCACATACATTTCCCGACGACTGAAGATGACGCAGAGAATTGTTGAAATTGCGAATGCACTACAAATATTTGCGACCTTTCAACAAACCATTTTACATTTATTTATTTATTTAATTATTTTTTTGCTTCTTTTTCTAATCCCTGACTCGTGCATGCGAGAGAGACAAACGAATAGAAGACAAGCGAGAGGGAGAGAGAGAGAGAGAGAGAGGGATAGAAAGGGGGAGAGTAAAAAAAGTTCAATAAAAATCGAATCGATTTGAAATGGCATCAAATTGAAAACCGCCACGAATATTCGCTCATGTATTTCAATTTAAATTTTAAATTTGCTTCAATTGATAATACAATCTGCACAAAAAGTAGAGGCAACAAATAGACAAAAATAAAACAACAACAACAATCAACACTAAACTAACAGCAACAAGCAAATTTCAAATTCAATTCTTATTTGGGATGACATATTTGAATTGTTTATTTTTACTGATAGCGCGCTATTTGAATTAAGCACATTCACAAAATTCACAAACAACAGCTAAACAATAAACGGCGCAAACCATTTAATTGGCAACGACACTGAAAAGCACCGTGCATTTTCAATTATATTTTTCATTGCATGACAGCCAAATTTACTTTTAGATATAGTTTCAGTTTTTTTTTCTCGATTCGCTGCATATGATCTCTATCTCGCAATTCTAAATATTTTGTCATTTATTGAATGTATAACTAACTAGAGAGGAAGAGCGAGAGAGTAAGAGCAAGCGAACAAGAGAGAGGGGTTATTGATGCAAAATAAATAAAGAATAATACTTTATTCAAACAAAATACCTTGCAAAATAACTTTAATTACACATTCTAATTTCTAAATATTTGATATGTGAATTTTAAAAAAAAAAGGAGACGAAAAAAGCGAGCAACTAAATCAAATGTAAAATATTATAGATTGCATATGCAAGAGATGACAGAAAATGAATGCGACAACGATGAACAGCTACAATACGACAGCGAGAGAGGAGAGGGAGAGGGAGAGAGTGAGAAAATTCACTAAAATGTTGACACAAACACTATGAACCATATTGTAAGTTATCGGCACAGCATGCATGCACAGGATCGCCTCTATGTGTGCAATCCGATGAACGCGTTAAATGGTTAATGTACATGCATACGCTAACATATGTCAGCCATCTTCGATTAAGATTCTGGCTGTAGATTCGGTAAATTTTTCGAATAAAATTCGTTCGTCATTGCAAAACTCAATTGTAATAGAAATGCAACCAAAACGAGTTCTAATCATTTCATATTTGCCTGTTTTTTTATTTCACTCGCCTATGGTTGTGGATGTTTTTTTTTGTCTCATTGTTCAATCGTACACGCCGTTCTTATCGCCAAACTGATACAGTCGAATTGCGGTTAAAATGAAAGCTTTTGAAATAGTAGCTTTGATAATAAAGCAGCGCCCAAATAGTGGATTTTAAGTTCACAGCACATAGCACGACGGTATGATGTGATGCGTTGCACTAAGACGCTTATATTTATTTAACTATAAGTGTTAATTTCTAAGTGGAATGCGTACTTGAAACGTTGTGCACACGTTTATGTGACAGAGAGAGAGAGAGAGGTTGTGTGTGACACTGTATGTCAAAGTAACGAAAATCTTCTAACATACTTTGCAATAAATATTTTAGCTTATATAGGCATTTATTGATGTGTCACAAAAGTTCTAAGTTGTTGATTGGGCAGCAATCGAAAAACTAACTGAAACCCCATGACTTATTCATAGCCTCAACGATTCGGTCGATTGAATTTAATGTTCATAGAGAGAGAGAGAGAGAAGAGAAACCAGTATCACTTAAAGGATTCGATTGATCAAACTGTTCAAGAAACTTTTACGAAAATTGCAATAGCAATGCAAAACTAATACGAAAAAAACAACACACCGCACACAATCATCCTTGAATTCTAGATTCGTGCAAAAACGAAGGAAAAGGCACAAAGTAAACAACGCATTGCAAAGAGTCAAGGTGCGAATCAATAAAAACATTACCATACGAGCATACCGAGCGTTTAGTGCAAAAGAGCCAATCGATCTCGTCTCGTGTATCTCTCAATTATACTTGACATCTCTCGCGCGCGCATATACACAACTACTATATATACAACAACATCAACAATAAAAACACAATCAGCATGTATTAAATCATGAATCGGAATATATATAAAAATTCGTGCGCAAAAACAAAAACCTATGAATAAATATTGTATTTAATAAATTTTAGAAAGAGTAGGAAAAAAATAACACTACAAACGTTATTTTCCACATTACAAATTCAACGTGGTTTTTTTGTTGTCTTCTTCTAAATGAAAACACAAATTTTTAAAATATCTACATCAATAGAGGTTTAGAGAAAAAGAGAGAGAGACAGATGCATATTTATAATATTGAAAAGAAATGTGAAGAATTACAAATTCAACGGTAACACAACAAGTAATTTAATGAAAAACAAAACTCCAGTCAAATGACAGCATAGAAATCCAAAACGCTAATTACCTTGATCAAACTCGTTTCAATTTATAGAATCGTTCGTATGCGTGAGTGTGTGTGTGTGTGTATCTATGAATGTGTGTGTGTTTAAGAGTGAGTGAGTGCTTTTTTTGCGCGTTCTCTTCCTTGTTGCGTTTGAAGTACCATACGTTCGATTTGATGCAATAAATTAATAATGTCAATTCACATTGAAAACCACGTCATCACATTTAATGTGCATGTTTTGTGCATGCCTTTTTGTCGGCCGAAAAATAAAGAACGAATACAAATTGAGTCACTGTAGCGCTGCGTTCGCGATCAACTAGCTCTAACTATGTATTGAGTTAAAGGAGGAATAGATAAAGATTTTAGTTGGTTTTTTTGGTTTGCTTCAAATTTCCAATTCACAAAATGATTATACTTTATCGGATTCGTTTCATCGATCCAAAAATATTTGCGGTGTGGTTAAAAGTTTTTCGCCGATAGTTTATTTATGAATTGGTATCTAATAAGGGGGAGGAGAAAAACAAAAACAAGGCGGATAGATTGATTGGACAGGACAGAAAGAAAACGAAAAGCAAAATAGACGAAATAAACAAAAAAAATATTGTTAAAGTCACAAATCACACAGAAAATAGTTTTAAAAGATTCACATTAGTTCCATAATTTAATTTAACTTCATTGTTTTGCAGTCGTTTTAGTCAAAAGTTTAACTGCATTTACTGCAAGTGGTCGAACACCAATAATAATTTCTCTCTTTCTAAGTCACTTACACAAATATACATATACATTTATTGACTCCACGAAATGGACATTACCCGCCAAAAACATTTTTTTTATTTATTGAACTTTTAATTTATACGACGATGATATTTAACAGAGAAAATGAAACCGTTAAAAATATTGAAATTAACATAGTCCACAGTTTCTTAAGCTCAAGTAGATTGATTTCGATTTTGTTCTGTTTGTTTGATAAATAGTAATTGCACACTGCGGAGTATTGAATTTTTGTTTTCTTTCGTTTTCGTCTTTCTCTCTCTTTTGCTTATTTTTTTCTCCCCCGTTCTAATCACATGTCACACAAACAAGTAAAAGAAAATTCCACTTAATCAACGGCATTCAAATTGTTTTCAGGCGTAATTAGTTCAAACGTTCATCAAATGCGAATAATTTGTACTATTTGTTGATATTTTTCTTGATTTATAGTCACTGACAAATTTTCTTTATGATTTCTTCACATATCTTTACATTAAATTTGCACAGTTGATGATTGTTGTGTCATCGGCGAACGAAACGTGTCTATTTTCGATTTTTTTTACTTTATTAGTTTAATAGATAGCTTTTAATACACAATTTGATTGGCGTTGGAAAAAAATTAATCGACAAAAACTTTTCACTGTTTGATACTGAGTCGGCATTTTGACGAGATCAGCCGTATACATGCCGTGAGTTATTGTGACGCCACTGCATTTTGTTTATTATTATATTTTTTTACAGTTTCTTTATATTATAACGTCCAAATTTTATAAATCATTTGCGAAGGAAAAAAATTGAAATTAACGCGGTCTTTTTTCCGTAGAGCTGCACGTTTTTTCTCCGTCTCAGCTGCAGTTCAGATGACAAAAAACCGACCGAGATTTTGTAGTAGAACTTAACCGAACCAAAAATCCAATGATATGTGCTTATGGCGCGCGGATAATGTTTTGTATATATGTATGGAACGTTTAATTTATTTAGTTTTTATTTTTTGGTTGAAAAAGTGTAGAAAATTATTTAAAAAAAATTAGTCGGTTTTTCTGCGATAATTTGATTGATATTATATTATTTTTTTATTTTGCGTTAAATTTAAATGAAAATATTGGAAAGAGGAAAATGTGAAATAGAAGAATATATATATTTGGTTCAATAAAACTAAAAAAAAGAAAATCGATAGGAAAAAAACACACACCAAAAAATATAAAATGTGTTTTTTTATTCAGTTCTTTACAATTTTAGAGCGACTCAGTAACTAAAATTTTATATACATTGCATATAGAGAGAAGCGAGTGTAACCTTCATTGCCTGCGTCCCATGCCGTTCTACACCCTTTCCAAACCACTACTCTCTTTCAGCAAAACGCACACATAGACGCCATGCCGATCCGAACTTCAGCTCTCAGTCGAACTACTAGCTGAATCGCTTGCAAAAGGAAAGAAAAAACCATCCGAACGTGCATTTTACTCTGCACACGAACATGCAACCGTACGTGAAAAACAGAAAACACAAAACAGCAAACAGATAATGCTTCTCATACTTTTATTATGCATATTTATCGGTGAGAATGCTTTTTTTCTCTACTCTCTCTCGTTCTCGCTGGCATGCTTGTGTATGAGTGTAGTTTTTCTCCATACACATTAACTAAAACCATACAATAATACCTCGATACCTCAATATACCGCGCTCATACTGTGTGTATGAACTCACTCAGCTCACACTCGACTACGACCACGATTACGTGTGTTAAAGCGGCCGAAACGTCTGTTTCTCACTCTCTTCCTCGCCATACACATGGCATACAAAGTGCATTTTTATTCTTACCGCTATAACGTCTATGTCGCGCGCGCGACGAGATCCAGCGCTATTGGTGTGCTATCTATTTCTCTTTTTGTCATGTACTCGTTTCTTTTGATTGAAACAGTACGAAGCAAAGCAATTGTACGGATACAGTACACAATATATACTGAGAGAGAGAGAGAGAGAGAGAGAGAGAGAGAGAGAGAGAGCAGAATGCAAAAGAAAATGAGATAGAAAATAAAACCGCGTTCAACATAGTCACACACAGCCGAAGCCAAAATCACTCGCACAACGAATTATATGCATCGCCGTCATAAAATGCCTTTTTTTATTATTATTTTTGCCTCAATGGTATTTGTGAGTACTTACTATAAATGTGCAATTTGCAGTATGCACTGTTTGCTTTTTACTTAGCTCTCTGCACCAACACACACGGGCCCTATGCCAATAAGTGTATATACAGCAACAACAACAACAAAAATTGCAACTACTTGCAGCTCAATACATATTAACATCAACATTAGCATTAACGCGCTATGGAAATTTGAGAGTGCAGTAAAAATGCATTCGGCGACAGTGCCACCAGCGGCACCAATACACACAACCGCCGCATTCGCACTGAACAATCATGCCGCTGCTGCTACTTCTGCCATTCAATCAAGGCGATGAAATCATTGCCGAAATCTTATTCTGCTTTGGAACGATCGCAAAGAATATTGTAATGAATTTTTCAGAAAATGTCTTAAAAAATTGGTCAGAATGTTCATTGGTTTTTACGCAAATCGTCCCTTTCATATTCCTGGGTCATTTATTGACATTTTCTTCGTTCACAAATGACACTGCAAAGAGGCAAAGAAATTTGTAGTTTTCTTTGACACAATCAACATTTGAAACGAAATTCTGAACCATCTCATCGTACGTATGCCATTCAATGTCTATTTTAAAATGCAAAGACCTTGTGAAGCTTTTTAAGTTCCAGTTATTGATTCGGTTGAAATGACACTTTCAAGAGATTTCCAGATGTATTGCTGGCTCCCTTCCATTTATTATTTGTTAGAATCGTTCTGAACTTCAATGCAAATGTGCAGTTTATACGCGCGCATTTACTCATACTATGTACGAGAAAAAAAAATAACAACTAAAAATAAAATAAAAGTACACTGCACAACATGCATATATCTATCTATATGGTATGCAGCATCTATTGAAGTAATTCACTCTCAAATTTGCTGCCATTTTCTTCGTCAAGGTTATTTGAACCGTGTGTTCCATATCATTTTCATTTGATCAATGAACGTTTCGAAACACCTCCATGGGCTTCGGTCAGTTATCATGTTCGAAAATTTTTCGATTGCTTAAATAGACACCGTCACTTAATGTTGTTGTATCCCATTATTATTGGACATATGAGTGTGTTTGCATGCATACATATATATGTCCTAAGCGAAAGAATGCTTGTCAAAATTGCATCGTCGCTGCAACGAAGTTGTTCTGTTCTAAAAATGTTATAGAGAATAATTTTTTTTCTCGTTCGCTGCTAATGCTGTTGTTGCTGTTGTCGTCGTCGTCGCATACAAGAGTGACATCATCGCTTCAATTGTCATTAAATTGAAAGGGAAAAACCTTCAATGCATACGCGCAAATATGGCTGTATTTTGTGTGTCTTTTGTCACACTCACACTCGAAAAAAACAACAACTGAAATTCCAAACAAAAGAGAAACTAAAACAAATATAAAAAAAAATCATGAAATGAAAATGGTTTTAAATGCACACAGCAGCCATAAAAAATTTATTTGCGTGCTTATATCGCCAGCAATTCATAATTTTGGTAAACACACACATGTAAAAGTAACAACGAAATGCAAACAATTGTATGCATTGGTTATTTTTGGTTGGATAACTCCCTTTTGCGTTGAACAAAAAAAAATTGGAGTGTGATGGATCAGATATAGAGACATCGTCCATACCCAATGTAGTAGCAGTACTTAGAATGAACAATTCTCAGTGTGCTTCAAAATATGCATATGTAGATAAATTTGTATGTGAATGTTTCGCTCCCCGTCTCTCTCTCTCTCTTTCAATTTTTCATAAGAAGGATGAAAATGAGGCAAAATGAATTGGTGATTGAAGCCATGCAATCATTGCAATGTGTTGCACAGAAAAAAAAGAATTAATATTCATATATATCGTCGTATGCACATTCAAAAAATGAATTGTCGTTTGTTCGTTGACTATATGTGCTCACACCAACATTTGGTTTTAAAAACTTCAACGAAAGAAAGAACGAAAAAAAAGAATGTTAATGCAACGAACGATTTCTGTTCTAAAATTCTTGCGACGGTTTGTACCAGAATCAAACAAACATAATAAACGAATACACGTAGTCTCAAGAGAGCATGCAGTCAATTCCACGTAATATTTCACATAGTTGCGAGTGTAAGTCATTTGTTTGTGTTTAATGCTGCGTATAGCCACGCAATCGCGACGGTACACACACACATACTCCAATATACAAATAAATATGTTGCCTGTTCCAATAACAGTAAGTACACGCGGAATAATTGCATTAAATGCACCTTTAAAGTGTCTACTAGCGCGCTTCCCATGTACGATGTGCATAATGTATGGCAAATGAAAGCGAACGGGATGAAAGACATGCACGAAAATACAAAAAAAACGCCGAGAAATTATTATGTGAGCAAGCTTACCAAATATGAAGACGAGAATCAAAAAACGTCATGGCAAAACACTACTGCAAGAAGAAAGAATTTCTGAATGTTTTTTTTGTGTGGTGGCTGTTTTGCTTCAAAATCCCTTCTGTCCGAGTCCCCTTTTTCTGTCTCTTTCTCTCTCTCTCTCTCTCTCTCTCTCTCTCTCTCTCTCTGCCACAATGTAGAGACGTAGTATAATGCAAATGCAAAAATGCATGCCGATGTTTTATGACTGTTTTTCATTAAATTTTCGTTATGAAAACATATTCTTAATTCGACAATCCAATCCAATTCCAAATGAAAGAAAGAGAGACAAATATATCCGATAACAAACACGAGCAGAGAAACATAAATTACTGTCGAGGTTTTCATATATGAAACGATGAATGCGACAATGTGTGATGTACACACATTTCATCCATCTTCTACTATGTGCGAGACTAAGCAGCCAATCAGCCCAACCGACTTTCTTGCTCTTGAACATTTTCGAATAGACATTTTTCAGCAATACACAATTCTGAAACGCAACGAGAGAAAATAGAAAAATGCTGCCAACCGTTTTTGATCAAGTAAATCAAATTGCTCAAATCAAAATAAGCTGAACTGTTGACCTTTCTTATTTTGCTAATTTTTCTGAAAAAAAAAAAACGTTTACATTTCGATGACGAAAAAACTCATAAAATGACGACGAGAAAAACACATAGATACTGGTGTGATTTGTGTAGGAAATGCCCTCTGCATGCAATAAACCAATGGCAAAACTTGTTTTGCTGATAATGTAATTTCAAGTGATTTAGGCTAAATTTGAATTTCACTATTAAATACTTTATTGACATTTGATAAGCGATACGAACTACGATTTTCACTGTGAAGTGTGGAGATAAGAATCTTAAAACGTTAATACCTAATCTCCGCGCTCCTTCACACTCCAAAACAAATATAAAAACGAGAAAAAAAACAATCTTTTTTTTCCTTTTTCGAGCAGCGCAAGCAACGATAAATTGTTTTTCAGAAATATTATTATTTGAATTTGATTACATTGGTATGTGATCAAAATGCAACAAAAAAAATTAAGCGCTCCGTTGAGTGAAGTAGAAAAGAACGGCGAACAAGTCAAGGAAGAATATCATTACATTTAAGTTGTTGCCT